TCAGGTGTCTGCTCGACGCCGTTCTGTCGATTGTTGACAAAATTGCAAGACTCGCGCTCATAATTTAGCTCCGTTACTCGCGATTTCTGTCATCTAGGTACTCGAACGATCATATGCAATGATTTATCTCTCTTAAATCTTTCCCTCTTTTCAGAAATTGTTTCCCTTGATTGATTGTTTATGAGCGCTGGGGTCAAAGTTCTATCTGCATAAGACCACTTGTCTCTGACTTATAACTTTTCACTCTGACATTGATAGTTCGTTTAACACGTGTTCGAGTCATCCGAGACTCGTTGTCTACATTTTGTGCCGCGTTGTTTAANCTAATGAGATAAAAGAAAACATTAAAGTTGAAATAGAAACAGAGAAACAAAAAAAAATAGTATTAATTATCTAGATATAACAATAGAAAAAAAATTAATTAATTTATAAAAAATGTGTGAAACCTATACAAATACCAAAAACAATTAATTATAAATCTGTTACAGCAATAAGTACGAAATATAATATATTTAAAATGTATATAAATAAAATAAGACAACGAACTAGTGAAATTAAAACACAGGAGAAAGAAGAAGAAACAATAAAAATGTTTACATTAAATGATTATCCAAAAAGTCTACTGAATAAATGGTTAAAAAATCTAGAAAATGATAAACAAATAAGATTAATAGATAAAGAGAAAACTTTTTGTTAAAATAAGGTATATCCCTAAGACGTTTGAAAGAATTAAAGTATTAAACAGGAGAATTACCGATCCTACTGTATCGTGTAAATAAACGTTTATGTTAGAAAACTTAATTATTAACGAAAGCCTTACATTAATATGTAAATTTTCGATAATAAATTCGTATCTTCTATTATCAGGACTTATATTATCTGTAAAGCCAGTATAATAAGTCCTGATAATAGAAGATACGAATTTATTGTCGAAAATTTACATATTAATAAGAAAAAAGGACATTGAGGCATTTTAATTAAAGCCTTACATTGTTAAGATCTTCTCGAAATACATGCAAATTAAACACAATACCACTAAATAAAAAAATTTTAAATCATTGAAACTTAACTCCATATTACACTTATCATATAAATTACTCGTCCTAACAAAAGTTATAATTTGTAAATTAAGCAATAATCGTCTTCATCGTATCATTTTATATCATCCTCTTTTAACTGGATAGTGATTATGGATGCAAAAATAGGCATAATAGAATTTTAAATCTGTATTTGTTATTCTCAAAGAACTTCTATTTTAAAAGTAATAAATTAATAAAGAGAATTTTAATTTGAATTTTTACTGATTTCTATTAATTAAAATGTATTAAAACTCCAACGCTTAGACAATTATCTAATTTTTTAGCAATATACGTAGAAAATAGATTACACAATTATCAAAAAACCTTGTCATAAATTACCACAAACTCTTCGCCTTGTTTGTTTGTACTTAATACTAAAATAGAACTTATTTAACGTTAAATATACCCATTTCGGATAATATTACCTAAGGTTTCAAGATGGAAACTTTTTCGGTCGCCATTTTGAATTATTTTAAAGACTGCACGGATAATGTTATTTCGATCGGAGACCACGTAACTCCTCAGCTATAATAGACTAATAAAGTAATATAAAAGAAAAATTTACTCACGTCAATGGTTTTTTGTTTTCGATCTTAAATTCTTTTCTGACTTGATAGATTCCTTTTCGCTTGTTGCAGGTTCTTTCTTCACTGTTCGTGTCGATTTGGCTACTTTTTTAGACGTTGTTTCGTGTTTCTCTGTATTCGATTTGTTCTTGGCTTTTCCTTTTCATTGCATTATTATTGTTTTCCTTCTTTTTCATATTCGACACTAATGCTAACGGAACAGTTTCTGTTTCGACCCATTTTCTTTTTTTCCGGTCCCAGGATAGATCATGGTGTGCAAAAATTTGGAATCTCTCTTTAGGTTTTCTAAGGAGCCAATTCATGAATTTTTTCATACATAAATAAGTACATGTAGGAGTCTGAAAGATCGTTTATGTAGTACTTTGCTAGGTGCTTTTTATTCTATAACTACCCCCATAAATGTTTCATCTGTTGAGTATGATCTCCAGTTTGGGGTTTACAAATTTTTTAAATGGTTTCTACTGTTCTCTGTTGTACATTTACTGCTTCTATGTCGTCTATATGCTTATATCCACTCCATTCGTCGGTTATCATTGTAAATTTACATTTAGAATTATAAACAGACTCTTATTTGCCTAATTTTACAGCAAATTTAAATGCGCTGTCGATATCAGGAGGTAAACCTAACTCCAAAAATTCGTTTTCCATTAACTTATAGAAATTACGTTTTTGGCACAACTCGACCAAAATGAAGTCGGCAAAACTCATTTTCAAAGAATCAACAAAAAACTAAACACAAACAAAGAAAATAAAATTTTTAAAAAATTATAAAATTGGATTTAAATATAATTCTTAAATTATACTAAAATTTGAAAATAATAGACTATAATTACCAAAAATACAATTTGAAAATTAATTATTGAAACGAAGAAAGCAATTATTCCAATACGCATTTGTCGTAACACAGTCAATTTCGAATGACTACAGATTGCTTTGCATAAATCCACAATAATCTACATATACGACGTCAAAGCTTATAAATTTGCATATTCATTTATAACAACATTATACATCATCCATTAAGCATTCGCATTACGTCACATTATTACGAAAGAGCTCCCTCTATCATCATTAACACGCATGTCTCCGTTTCGAGATTACCGGAAACGTCGCCATCTTGGAACCTAAAGTAACATCAACCCTAATTTCTTTATCATTTAAATAGTTATGCATTTTTTTTCTAATTATTCCGATTTAATAAAACAGTAAATTTTAATAAATTTAATAAACTCTGTAACCTTTGAAAATCAGAGAAAGTGCGTATTTTCATTTTCTTAAATGACAATCTAAATATATAAAATTACTTGTCATGACTGACTGACTGACTGACTTAGTCACTGATTCATTATCTCCAAGAGTAAACCGCTGAACCTAGAGTTGAAATTTAATACACAGTTAGGGTACGTCATGGAAACGCACACTAAGAAGGAATTTTTCGAAATTCTCAAGCGGGTGGAGAGGGAGAGCATTAAGGCTTAACGGCTTCTACTGTACTATATGTACTGTACTGTATGTACTATATGTACTGTACTACTTCATTAAAGCTGAAAAAACGGCTTCTACTGTACTATATGTACTGTACTGTATGTACTGTATGTACTGTACTACTTCATTAAGGCTGAAAAAACGGCTTCTACAGTACTATATGTATTGTACAAGAAAAAATTGAAATTTTTTATTTAATGAAACATCAAACACCTTCTATCGATAAGAAATGTTTATTAAACGAAACACTAGCGTTTTCGACCTTATAACAATAGGCCATCTTCAAGTGTAACTGATTTCGAACGTATTTTAAAAATTTAATATTCTGACATTCTTATTTTTCTTTTATTTCACAAATTGAAAGACGAAATATTAACGATACGATTAGTTATTTTACTTTAATTAACGTCTAAAACCACAGATTTTGAAGAATAAATGGTAATGTATAAAGTAGTAAGTGCTATTTGTTTCCAGTTTCTTAAGCATGAGAATACTATATAAATTTTTATGTATTTATTTTATTGTATTATTTATATCGTTGTTGTTTTAGTTTATTATTTATTTGTTAATTTATCTAATATTCTCGTTTTAAATTTAAATGTAAAATGTCTGAATGTTCTGTTGTTAGAATGTTAAATTTTTAAAATACGTTCGAATTCAGTTACACCCGATGACCTATTCCATTAGGACGAAAACGTTAGTGTTTCATTTAATAAACATTTCTCAGCGATAAAAGGTGTTTGATGTTTCGTTACGTGTTTATAAAGGTTGAGTTTGATATTTGGTTTTAAAAATTTACCATTTAAACCTTAAATTAAGCTAACCATTTTAATTAAACATCCTATCATACACAGAACGAATAAATAATATTAAAAACTAAAAGGTTTGCACAAGAACAGTCCATCTTCTATTCATGATGTCACTAGTAAGGCCTTGTTATCTAGGTGGTGGTGACACGTGACGCCTATAGAGCAGTAAAAATGAATTGCTAGTGTAAAGAACAAAACCAAAACGAATTGTAATATACGATTTATAAAGTAAATATATATAGGCTAAAGCTATCGGCGTGCCAACCTTTCATTCGCCAATATATTTTCGCGAAGTTTTTTTTTTTTTTTTTTTGGTCAACACTAAGTTTAGCCGGGTGGAACTTACTTCTTCTTACACAGTCTAGCCAAGAATGAAGAAACCCCTCTCCCTTTTAACCACGTGAATCCTACCCCCTTCTAATTGGTCTATAGACCATCCACACTCCCTATCCTCGAGATAAGGGACTCCTAAATTGTGACAATGGTCACTAGACCAGATGAATCCACTCGGCTACGGGTGGCACAATTGGCCTTTCGGAGATGCTTTGCATTAGTCACTCTGGTCCATCTTATATATATGCAAGATAAAGCAAATTTTTCTTTTATTTCATAAATTCAAAGTCGAAAGATTAACGATACAACGGCATCGCTTATTTTGCTTTAACTCTTTCCGACCTGTGGGGGACTAAGAGAGCTTTTTTAGCAATCCGATTATGGGTTCGGCCATGCCCACAATGACGCGGCTAGAAGGACATATCCGGCACAGACCACCACCGAAAAATTGCTGGAGTTGCTGGCCTAGACACGATCCCAGATTCTCCAGAGCGGTATGATGACGCTTTAATGGCTTCGGTAATCCGGCCGTTGAAGAAACTCTCATAACTTTCCAATCAGCATAATACTATGAGGAATCCGAATTTCGATCGGATCCTCAGAAATTTTCAAGAAGGCTTACAATGGGGCTAAGTGGTCGCGCCTTACCACTTAGCCGTTCTGTTGTGAACGAATAATGAAAATACATCTTTATTTCACAGATAATGGCTGTAATTTAAAGTAATTTTATCTGATTTAATTGCATTGTTAACAGCATCAACAATCAAACTCATAATTGAATTGTTCTCTTGTTATAAAATATTATCTCGGTGAACAGTAAGAAAAAACAAAGTATACTATTTTAATTACTTCTTGTTTTAATGTTTTAAATTGCTAATTCATCGTAACTCTTAAGTTTTATAGGATGTCATCTTCAAATCAAACAGAACAGAATGAAGGGACCAAAGACGATCGTGTAAGCGACACTGAAAAAATAATCCAAAATGAAGTTGTGGAACCTAAAGAAATCCTCCCAGAACAATCACAAACAGTGGTAGCAGATGACACAGATAAGATGTGTACTGATAGTGGTTTTCCCGATGATTCGGGCGATCATTCGACAATCGAAAATGATCATCTCACTGACGTAAATATGGAAAGTCCTGCTACCGAAATAATTAACAAGGAAGACGAGGAAAAAAGTCCTGCTACCGAAATAATTAACAAGGAAGAAGAGGAAAAAAGTCTTGCTACCGAAATAATTAACAAGGAAGAAAAGGCAAAAAGTTCTACCGAAATAATTAACCAGGAGGAGGAAAGTTCTACCATCGAGATAATTAACCAGGAGGAGGAAAGTTCTACCATCGAGATAATTAACCAGAAGGAAGAAAGTTATGCCACTGAGATAATTCACAATGAAAATTCGTTAATGCATGTCTCGCATATAAGAGAGAGGATCATAGATTGGTTCTTTCGCTTCTTTAATCAATTTTCCATCCCTCAAATAATTACATCGCTGATCAGAAAAAGAAAACGTGATTCTGATGAAGAAGAAAATGAAAAACCTTCAAAAATTCCTAAAATATAAATTTTCCTGTCCGCTTAACGTTTTAAATACATTTTTACAATTATCAAAATTATTTGGTAAATGAATGTAATAAAATCTCATTTTATAACTGATTTTTGTGTTATTGAAATCAAGCAGGGCGTCACCAGGACTGTTTATCGTTGGCCTCAATTATGAGGAGCCAAAAAACGCTACAAATTATTCATTTCACTTTATTTCTAACACATATTTCTTTTTAACGGTTTTGTTTTAATATACAGTCAACCCCCTTTAAATTACAACCATTGGTTTTCAGTCCACGATGCAAAGGCGAAGGTGGCAATTTATCGAAAACGGCATGCAAATAGGATTGTCAGGATAATAAGAATAACTATTATTTCCTTCATTTATATTTATTGTTTCTCGCTTATAAAAAAACCTGTCCAAAATATTTAACTACATTATTTCCTGGAGTCATGAATATAAATGGATCCAATGCATCAGATAATATTTTATTGTCATGGATGTCATTTCATGCCACGATTTTCTAATTAGCCACAGTGCAAATTTCAGAGACCTTTCAATAAGTTTAGTTAGTTTTTTGTTTGGTTAAGGTACAGCGCAACACCTGGCCGATCTGCCTAGAGAGATGCCTTTCTAAGGGTAACTGGCCTCTATTTCAGGCGTTACAGACGAGAAAAAAACCCGGAAAACGCCACATGGCCGGGCCGTCCTGGAGGGTCACGAACCGACAACCCAACTCCTAGTGTTCTGTGAGCGGAACCCTAACGAAAAGTGGCCACTGGTCGGCCACCTTTCAATACGATTTACATTATTGATGTATTCGATAATTGTATTTGGTGGCGTCTGTAGTTAGAATTAAAACTATTATGGCAGCGTAAAGTGGCTGCAGAATTTTCGTGCAATTTACTAGAAAGAATTATATTTCAACATTATTCAGAGTGACTGTCTTCTGAGAAGGTTCATTATCAATGAATAGCAGAACCTTAATTTTTGTGACAATAAAAAAATTATGGTGATTTATCCGAAATATTTTATATGGGAAATGACCATTCTATTTTAAATCATGGTTGGTAGATGACGGAAAACGGGGTGGCGGTTTCTATTATCGATTTACCATGGAACGAATCGTTTTTCCGCGAATTTTGACGGAAATTCTGGAGTGGCGGTATATGGAGGGGCAGTTTAGAGGGCGTTGACTGTACTGTTGTTTTTAATATAATATTTAATATAGTGAGGATCACCAAAAAGACAGCGACTTGGTATGTTGTACCTAGTGCATGATGCATCACCGCCACTGTCTAAGCACTTTTGTCAAGGAATCTAGTTGTATCGCGGGCGTTTAAAACAATGTGAATCAAATAATTAGATTTGGTTTGAAGAATTTCAAATTTGATTAAAATAAAAATCTTTAAATGTATTTTCTGTTTAAATCAAAATTTTAGTAAAAAATCAAGTTAAAGGAATTTTGGTAAAAAATAGATTGACATTTGATATTTAAAGATTACGGAAATAAATTTATCCTAAATTTTATAAAGAAACTGTATTAGTTATGAAACTTTCCTTGTATAAACGAATACAATTTATGCCATTGCTCTAATATGCATCTCGTGTTTTCTACTTCTGAATATTTCTACTTTTAATCTCAGGATGGAGTAATGATGAAACGAAATTTGGCATGGTAACTTGTATATGAGGCAACGATGCTATTAAATTTTGGTGGTTAAAGTTCGATTAGACAGATAGATAGAAAGGGTCGTATGCGATATTTCAGACCAGTTCAGACTNGTATTTCTACTTTTAATCTCAGGATGGAGTAATGATGAAACGAAATTTGGCATGGTAACTTGTATATGAGGCAACGATGCTATTAAATTTTGGTGGTTAAAGTTCGATTAGACAGATAGATAGAAAGGGTCGTATGCGATATTTCAGACCAGTTCAGACTTATTGTAAATGCCAGTGTGTAAAATTTTCATTATTTTTAAAAACGCATATCTACTCTCAAAATTAAGCCTTCAGTAAATAAATGTGAAACTCCCAGCTGTTATCAATTATATTTTAAAAAAAGTGTTTAATAAAATCTCATAACAGCCAATTCGGTTGCGCAATCGATTGCTGGATTTGTGTGGATCATAGGACAGCAGGATATCTGTATGCCTCCAAGTCAAACTGTATTGCTGCATGTATCTAGACAAGATGTCCTACAAGTACTAAAACTTTCTTTAAATTGTATTGTTCCACAGGAAAGTCTCTCTTGATATGAAATTGTAATCATTATTATGTTTGCACTAATAAAGTTTCATTTCATTCCAACACTGCCTTCTTGGTCAACAAGTGAATATCCTTATTAATGTCTGAATTATTCTACTGTTATAAAGATTCCTGTCTTTGTAAAATAATTATTAAAACATTTCTGATAAACAAAATCATACTAAATTATACATGCAAACATATTATTACTTAAGCAATAATAACTCATATTTGCGTAGTAATAATATAGCAATAATAACTCATCTAANGTAAGTCGAGGTATACCTGTATTAATACACACTTACAGATGAGGCTTTATAACTTAAAGTGGACTGAAGTAAGTATGAAATAGTTCTATAAATTGGAATTTTCAATCATTTTGATATCAAGTCAACATATTACCTACGTATAGTACTGTATAGTACACACATCAAATTTTATAAATGATTAGATTTACATGAATGAGTAACTGTACGTATTAAATGTTTTGTTTATTTTTTCTTTTCATTCAGATTTGCTTCATCTCCAATTGTATGTTTTGTATCCCTATCGCTCTTCTTACGGTCGTGTCTTGGCTAAGGAAGCCAGACGTTAATACTGACGAAAAAGATGAGAATAGCGATAGCAACGTAAACTTGTAATGTACATTATAAGTTGCTCTCGTTTCATGCTGGTAAGCCATTTGTATGATGTCAACGATACTTCTGGTGTGGTTAAAAACAATGTGTTTTAAAATGTTTTTTTTCTTCTTTTTTTCATCCTACAGGACTTGATATTGAAAACTGTAGAACCTGGCTTTATATCTTCAAAGGAAGAATGACGCATACAACGTCCCAGATTTCTCATTGATGATAACGTTCGTTACTGACATGGAACAGGTTGTCCTGATCCATAATCTTTTGAGTCACTGTTTTTATAAATTTTTAACGATGCAACCTTTTTAAAATATTGTATAACAAAAAATAAAATCTGTAATTCGAGAATAACAAAAAAATTACTGTTTTGGAGAATTATTTTTTTTCTATTGGGTTTTTACAACAGGAAACAATACCCCCCGGAATATTTTTTATAATAAAAATAAAATTGTATATAGGAAGATGTTAAGTTTTTTTTTTTTTTCTCAGATAACAAAGATGTTAAAATATAACTATCAGCAGTTAAATCTATACAGTATAAGTGACTTTATACATTTTAGATGTTTTTTTTTTATAAAGTTTGTTTTCAATAGAAAAATCTTAAACAGCTATTTATTACAGCAGCACATGGCATAAAGAAAATGCCCGGACTGTTATTAACTTTACGCGTATATTTGATATTGGATCTT